GTGCCATTTTGACAATATTCTTCCTAGCCAAGAGCATGGGATGAATTTCCATTTGTTAGTGTCCTCTTTAATTTCTCTTAAGAGTGTCTTGTAGTTTTCAGGGTATAGGTCTTCACTTCCTTGGTTAGGTTTATTCCTAGGTATTTTATTCTTTTTGATGGAATTGTGAATGGAATTGTTTTCCTGATTTCTCTTTCTCCTAGTTCATCGTTAGTGTATAGGAATGCAACAGATTTCTGTGTATTAATTTTGTATCCTGCAACTTTGCTGAATTCAGATATTAGATCTAGTAGTTTTGGAGTGGATTCTTTAGGGTATTTTATGTACAATATCATGTCATCTGCAAACAGGGACAGTTTGACTTCTTCCTTGCCTATCTGGATGCCTTTTATTTCTCTGTGTTGTCTGATTGCTGTGGCTAGGACCTCCAGAACTATGTTGAATAAAAGTGGGGTGAGTGGGCATCCTTGTCTTGTTCCCGATCTTAAAGGAATAGCTTTCAGCTTCTTGCTGTTAAGTATAATGTTGGCTGTGGGTTTGTCGTATATGGCCTTTATTATGTTGAGGTACTTGCCCTCTATACCCATTTTGTTGAGAGTTTTTATCATGAATGGATGTTGAACTTTGTCAAATGCTTTTTCAGCATCTATGGAGATGATCATGTGGTTTTTGTCCTTCTTTTTGTTGATGTGGTGGATGATGTTCATGGATTTTTGAATGTTGTATCATCCTTCCATCGCTGGGATGAATCCCACTTGATCATGATGGTTGATCTTTTTGATGTACCACATAGTCTTTTGAGGGCAAGGATAGTATTGTGTCTTAATCATCAGTGTGGCCCCAGCATCTGGCAGAGTACCTGACACAGTGTGTCTTTAATAAGTACTTTTTGGTATGACTGAGAGAGGATATAGAACAGATGACACCATTGACATTTTAAACTAAACATCTGTGAACTGTCTTGAAAGTACCTCTTCCTAGAGTCATTGTGAGGATTAATAATTTAAATTTCCAATTTGACTTTTATCATGAAAGAGTGCTCAATGATCTCCCTGCCTCATCCCTCCCTCTCTTAACAGTGTTCATAAGTCAATTATTGCCCTTTGAGAATTTGGGGGATTCCTGTAGGCCTCAGTTCTTGCCCATTATGAATGTCAGAGACCTTTTGCCCCCAGGAGTTTGCAGTGTAGTAGGATTGTGGCCTAAAGGAGTATGTCTGCAGTGCTGAAGGAGGGCAAAGGAGGAAAGGATCTCCATTCACTTCCTGGGGAATATGAGTTGTGGTTTATCTGAAGGTAGCTTAAATTCAAATCATTTGTGTTGGTGCGCTTTTTAAAAATTTAGACAAATAGAAGGAAAAAAGGGAAAAGGAAATGCCTAAGTTTTTTAAGGAGAACAATATATACTTTAAAATTTTAATGTATTAATTTTAAGCCCTACATTTATATATTTCTAAGCTTGTTTTTAATTATTGCAGCATTTGCATTTTAATTATTGCAGCGTTAAGAATAATAGGAAGTAGGAAACATACTTTATACTGTTATCAGGTGCTTTTTATGGTATATTTTACTGTCTCTGGAGTCTGAGTACCTTTATGATTTGGTTTTTCTTTCCTGACTTTGCATCTTGCTGTTTTGCTTAGATCCTTCTGTTTTAAGAGGCCCTCTGCTAGGTCACACTGATGCCGTCTGGGGTTTGGCTTACAGTGCAGCCCATCAGCGCTTGTTGTCCTGTTCAGCAGATGGCACTCTTCGTTTATGGAACACAGCTGAGGTTGCTCCAGCCCTAAGTGTGTTTAGTGATAATCAAGGTACATGCTTTGTAAAATTTAATTTACTGAATCTTTTCTAAAATGTCTTATTCTAAAAACAAATAAATACATGATTCTATAAACTCCTATTTGATTTGAAGGGTTTTTTGAAGCAATGAAGGTATGTTTATGTTAATTTTCAATTTATGTGTAATTTTTCAAAGCATAGTATTTGAGGAAAGCACACATTAAAATTTTTTTTTGAATTGAGAGAGTAAGTTTTATATAGTAAAAAATAGATATTAAGGGTACATTTTAATCAGTTTGGCAAATGCTTGACTCTTGTACCTATCAAGATAGGGAACATTTCCTCCACCTTCCCAAAGTTCTTTGTGTCCTTCCTAGTCAGTCCCCTAACCCCATTCCCAACCAGAAGTACCCATTGTTTTCATTTCTCTTGGTATAGATTAGTTTTGCGTATTCTAATCTAAATCTTCAGATAAATAAAATCATACAGTGTGTACTCTTTATTTTTTTTTTAATGTTTTTGTGATTTATCCTTAGAGTAAGTATCAGTAATTTATTTATATTGTTTAATAATATTTCTTTAAACCACAATATATTTATTCATTTACCTCTTGATGAACATTTAGATTGTTTTTAATTTTTGGCTCTGAATGAAAAAAGCTAAGGTGAACATTCATGTTTTGTTTTTTTTATTATTATTTTGTTATCATTAATCTACAGTTACATGAGGAACATTATGTTTACTAGGCTCCCCCCTTCACAAAGTCCCCCCCACAAGCCCCATTACAGTCACTGTCCATCAGCGTAGTAAGATGCTGTAGAATCACTACTTGTCTTCTCTGTGTTGCACAGCCCTCCCCCTGCTCCCCCCCACACTATACATGCTAATCGTAAGGCTCCTTTCTTTTTCCCCACCCTTATCCCTCCCTTCCCGTGCATCCTCCCCAGTCCCTTTCCCTTTGGTAACTGTTAGTCCATTCTTGGGTTCTGTTTTGTTCCTTCAGTTTTTCTTTGTTCTTATACTCCACATATAAGTGAAATCATTTGGTACTTGTCTTTCTCCGGCTGGCTTATTTCACTGAGCATAATACCCTCTAGCTCCATCTATGTTGTTGCAAATGGTAGGAATTGTTTTCTTCTTATGGCTGAATAATATTCCATTGTGTATATTTACATGTTTTTATTATAGGTGGGTAAAGACCCTTAAGTAGAATTGGTGGGCTTTAGAAGTAAAATTATGTGTTTATCTTTATGTGAAATTGCTAAACTTTTTTCCAGAGAGTGATTGTGCCATGTTATACCATTGACAGCAGAATATGAGAATTCCAGTTGCTTTATTACTAACGTTTGGTGTTGTCAGTCTGTTTAATTTTAGCCATTCTGGTGGGTATGTAATGGTATTTCCCTGTGGTTTTAATTTGCATTTCTTTGGTGGCTAATTATTTTGAGCACTTAAAAAAATTTTTTATGCTTATAGACCATTAATTTATCTTCTTCTGTAATATACACATCTTTGAACTGTTAACTTGCTTTAATTAGATTTTGGCCCAAATGATAAAAATAAGATTAAATTCATATAAACATATTATTCTATTTTGTTTCATGTTTGTAAATAAAGTCTAGTTTTCATCAAGTTTTAGCCTGTTCTAGATAAATAAAAATAGCATCTTATTTTTGAGCTGTTTTAACTTGTGTATGGGGTTTGATGGGTTGTCTGCCCTTGATATTTGCATGACTCCAATCTGAAATTTTACTTTTTAAATTTCATATTTTTGGTAAGTTAGAACTCCTAATAAGAGATGGGCTTTTATAATGAATTCCCACAATGCCACTCTAAGCCCCAGATTGAGGTGGAAGCAACAAAACTTGTAGTCTGCACATGTTTCCCATTTATTTTCTAAATAAAGGCTTACATTCCATGAGTATGTTTGCTGAGTCACAGGTCAAAGATGTGCTGAGCAGGTAAGGTTAATAACATAGGCTAGGGCTAAAAGTAACCAATAATCTTTACCGATGTCCATGAGCTCATTCTTATTCTAATGTTGATCCTTTTGTACTTCTTAAAGAAATTGTGCCACTATTTGTTTTGCTGTGTTTTAAGCACATTGTCAGGTAGACTCTCTAATCACCATTCTCTTTGAATATGTCCTGACTCTTTTAGAATTGGGAATTCCTGCCTCTGTGGATTTAGTGAGCAGTGATCCGAGCCACATGGTAGCATCATTCAGCAAAGGATATACAAGCATCTTTAACATGGAAACACAACAACGTATTCTCACTTTAGAATCCAACCTGGATACGAGTATGTATACCAGTTTTAAGCAGTGTGTTTGGATCAATTTTTTAAACTTCATCAAAATTTTAACTACCAGAGTCAGCTATGAAAAATACTTGTTGTTATATCGTGTTCTGCCTTCTAAATCACAGAACAGTTACTTAGAAAGATATAAATGATTTAAAATTGATTTTAAGACTTTGGGTTATGTTTATACATATTTATGTCAAACAGCCATACTGTTTGAAATAGCATTTGAATTACTCCAGAGAGGAGTCAAGTTACATTGTATACCAAATGATTAGTTTTCAATTCTGTTTGAAGAAAGTAATATTCATTGTAAATATAAAATAAAATCTACCTTTCATCTCATAATTTCATATTTTTGATCAATTTCATATTAATAGTATAATTTGACACAGTCAGTACTGATTAGAATATAGATCAAGTTGTGCCTCTCAGACACCCAAATCTGAAGATTCTTATTGAATACTGAAAGTCAGGAAATGAATAATTCCTCAGATTGACAAAATGATATTACAGTCTTTTGGTTTTTGACTTTTTTAACCATGCTTTCTGTCTTTAGGCTTAATCTAGACATCACAGTTTAGGTTGCAGGTGATAAAGAAAACTCTTCACCCATATACTGCCGTTTTAATCTGAGAAGTAGCTTTAAATGTTATTGCCATGGTGTGTGTGCACCCTCGCAAGTGCCTAAATGTGTATATGTGTGTGTGTGTGTGTGTGTCTCTTTCTCCTGCTTCTCTTTTTCTCTTACAAATTTCCTTTATTCTATTTTGGCTTTCTGCCTTTTCTCTTCCCAATTTGTCATCCTTTGTTTTCTTCTAGTGTCCAGTGAGAATTGTTTGGGGAAATAGACATGAATAGAGCTTTGAACAATTTGGATATAAAAGAGAGCCAGAAAAAATCAAAATTGAGATTATGGAACAAAAAAAGAATCTTTTTGCCAAGAAATACAGGTTTTAGATGCTCAGTAAATTTACTATCATATTTTAATACATGACCTAAAGGTTCCGTAGTAAAATAAAAACCAATATGACATTAAGAAGGATGTGAACATTTTTGGAATGACTTTCAGAGATTGTGGTCAATTCTTTGAATTTCCTAAGTGGTAAATGTTGATTTTTTTTAAGCAGCTGCCACAAATTAAGGAGACAACTCTGGTGGATGAAATGGAGTAACTGAATGAGGCAGTCCCATTTTTTCCCCCCAAGATGTGTGACTATTAAGCCACATGATATTTGCCTGATACTGGAAACATTTTCTGAAGAAGCCTGCCAGGAATATTTTCAACAAAGGCAGCCTTATGGGAACAAGTGATAATTATTTTATTTTATTTTGAGTTAATAATAATATGTCCTTACATTTCCTAATTTATTAGTTTGATTACTTTAGAGTTGTATCAAGCAAACTTTAATTAGTCTTCTATTCCTTTCTACTGTTAACTACCCTTAGCAATTTATGTTTGACTGTGTTGTTCTATTCTAGAATTCAGCAGGTTTTTTTAAAAACCAAAGTTCAAACCAAACATATTTCAATGTAAAAGTGAATTTCATATAGCGTTTAAAGAGATGAACAATGATGTTAGAATCAGTTACCTTTCTTCTCATTGAGGTCAGTGGAGATTATCTGAGGAAAAAGTATTTCCAGTTCTTAAGATGTCGTGTTTCTAGGGATCACATGAATCCAATAGAGTATACTAATATAACAGTTGTTTTTAGCTATATTTCCTATTACGTGAATGTAAATTTATAATACCTATTCCAAGGTGAAAAAAAAGTAAACTCTTTATTATGAAATAATTTAAAATTTGCAGAAAAGTTTCAAAAGTAGTACAAGAATTCCTGGCTTTCCTTCACTCAGATTCACCAGTTTTTAACATTTTGTTGTCACATCTGTCACATTTGCTTTATTACTCTTTAATATGTATATAATTTAAATTTCTGAGCATTTAAGAGACATTGTACCTCTATACCCCTAAATTCTTTAGCATCTAATTCCTAAGAACAAGGATATTCTCTGACATAGCACATTACATTGTCAAAATCAGGAAATTTAACATTGACACAGTTCTGTTGTCTGAGTTGCTATCTATATTCAAATTTGCCATTTGTCCCAATAATGTATTTATAAGGACATCCCTTCCTTTCCTTGGACTGCGATGTAATGATTTTTTTAAAACTTTGATGCACCTTAATTTAGCATTATCTTTATGCAGATTTTTTTCCATTATTTCTTATAAAATGTGTCTTAACAAAACTCTCCAATTAAACTTAAGTTTTTAATTATGGATTTCCTTTCAATAACAGGGTTTCAGTAACTCATGATTAGGTACAAATTTCTGCAGTTGTCTGATTTACATGAGTCGGTTGGGATAGTGGTAGAAATTAGAGTAGGAACTGACTTTGTCTCAGGATTTTGATGGGGGGGCAGGTCACAGCTTTTTCTGGATCTTGGTTCACGTGCTGTGATATGGGCCTAATGACATGTAGTCTGCCTTTCTCATCACGCATATAATTGAAATCTCTTTGAAAACTCTTAATAGTGCACAAAAAATATTAGGATGCTGACTATTTTAAGTTTCCCAACATGGTAGACTGTCAAATGATAACCATTTCTATTGTGATAAGAAAGAGATAAAAGAGTTAAGAAGCTCTCTTTGTCATGTTTATCTTTAGATGGTAACCATGTGATAAAGAGCTCTGTATCTAGAATGAGCTGAGATTTGAATTTGGGAATTACCTACATATAATGATGGAACTTTATTAAAGTAACAAATATCACAGAACATTGGAGAATGAGAAATGTCAGGGGCTCTAGGCTAAGCCCTAGGTGGCATCCATAGATAGAGGGTGTCAGAAAAGAAAATTCAAATTCATGGGTACCTCTAGATTTGTCAGTGTAGTTATCGCTCAGCAACTCTCACTTCCTAACATTGAAATTATGAACATAGTTTCAGAATAAATGAACTAAAGACAAATTAGAGTCACATTGTTTACTTTTCAATCCATTAAGTAGTATTCAATTCTCTTGTGTGTGAAGAAATAGTAGCTTTGACTAATTTAAATTACTGTACTTTCTTCTTTTTAGCAGCCAACTCTTCCTGCCAAATAAATAGAGTCATCAGTCATCCTACTCTTCCCATCAGTATCACTGCTCATGAAGACAGGCACATCAAGTTCTATGATAACAATACAGGTAAGAATTTACTAAAAATTGATGACTAGAGCAAAAATATCCCCACTATAAGTAGGCTAATTTTGGTGTCTGTCAGTGGCTTTATAGTCATGGAGTAGCCACTGAAATACAGATACTCTCCCAGCTCCGTTTCTATTCATTCCATTCAGATCTGCTAAGAATTAGGCTTCCTGATAGCAGGTAGAATAATCTTGTTTTATTTAGTAGTAAGTAGATGCCATATTTTGCCCTTACAGCCAGGGTTATCACTAGGAACACAATGAAAAATCCATTCAAATACCAATACAAATGATTTCTTCCTGTGAAAATACTGAGGAAAAGTAGAAACATGTCAGAAGTAGAGGCATATGGTTATTATGTTTTGTTTAATTATTGTCCAATTTTTGAATAGCCTTGGTGTTGCAGATGGAAAACCCCTGAGTCACTTGGTTTATTTGTTTTTCCATAGGTTATTCTTTTCTGTATTATACTATTTGCTTCTGATTGATTTGAATTGGGGTCCCAGTTTTTATTGGATTATATTTACTAGTCTAAAGGAAATTCATGGAGACCTGTGTTGGGAGAAAATCAGTATTAGCAGTCATGTTTACCTGATAATCTGCTATTGCTTTCTAAGTATGTTGAATTTTGCTGAGTTAGCTGCAAATGATGAGTTATTTAATATTTTAAAACCCTTTTTTAATATTGTTTCAACCAGTGCTGTAGCCAGGTTTTCTCTCTGTTCCTTTATGTCAGTCTTTTCTTCTGTTCCCACAACCCATATGTAATTGCCTATAGCTGAAGGATGCAAAGTAGATGATTAATAATGTCTGAGTTCTCATTAATGAACATGGTTTAAAGGGCTATTTGTGTATAAATTATTGAATGCCATATTATGATTTGAAAGACAAAAATATAATTTGAAATTTAAACTTGTCTCATTACCATGGCTAGAGTGGGGAGGGAGATATGTGTTACTATGGCTGTGATGGAAAAAGCTATTGATGCAGTAAATACACAGATAGGGGTGTCTGTAGAAATCAGTGTAATGTGGTAGCTGACTTATATTCAGGATGAGGAAAACTACTAATAAAGAGGAACAATCTCTTTTCCAAAGGCAAACTGATCCACTCAATGGTAGCCCACCTAGAAGCTGTTACAAGTTTAGCAGTTGATCCTAATGGCCTGTACTTGATGTCTGGCAGTAAGTACATCAACTATGGATTATTTATTTATCCTTACCATTTTCATGATAATGTAATATTTACTTTAAATTTCTTTTCTTTTGATAATAGGTCATGACTGTTCGATACGTTTATGGAACCTAGAAAGTAAGACTTGTATCCAAGAGTTCACGGCTCATCGGAAAAAGTTTGAAGAATCAATTCATGATGTAGCTTTCCACCCATCCAAATGCTATATAGCCAGTGCTGGGGCTGATGCACTGGCTAAAGTCTTCGTATGACACAATGCATTGCCTTCACCTTCTAGCTCTTTATAAATAATCAACTGCACAAAAGAGATACAGAAGACCAGGGCAAGAATCAACCTGTCCTGCCCTTTTGTTCTGCCGAAGGAGCACAGAGAACATTTGTTGAAGTATAGTTTTGCAATTCGTGTACTGTTTTCTAAAACTAAGGTTTGATCAGGTTGCTGCAAGCTCAGCTGAATCTGTGAGCCTGAAAATCTTTCAAAATTTCCCCCAAATAGAATCTTTTATTTCTGAGTTGGTTCTAATTCGCTAGGCAGGCCTGAGCGAACTTAGGTTTAGCTTGTTCCTATTGAGTAAATAGGGCACACTAAAAGGGATAATTAAAAAACTTGATGACTGGGAATGAGTAGAGGAAGAATGGAGATCTAGACCTAATTATCCCCTGAGATACCTTGTTAAACACATTAGGTAGTCAAAACATTAATCTTTACCATATCTGCTGTACTAACCCCTATGTGCATAATGACCATGCAGTGTTAAAATGAGTTTTTAAATTTAGTTCTCCTTTCAACTATTTACAGAAAGAACCCAACAAAGAGATTTACTTATTAAAGGAAAAAAAGAAATGCAATAATATGTTAAATATATTACTATTCAGAAATACTAAACAAATATTTAGTTTGTGAGTAGATTTCTATATTGTGTTATATTTCTGAAAATAGATTAGGTATCATTCTAAAGTTTAGCTGTCAAAAACACTCACCATTATGAACAATAGTTGATAGAGTCTGCTTTTACTAAAGGATTTAACTTATTCAGGTTTAAAATTATGTTTAAAGGCCAACAGGGCAAATCTTTAAAATAATTTCTGTTAATTTAAAGTTCACTTTATTCATGTGATATTTATAGCACCAGAGTGATTATTTCATGTTTATGAAGTCTTACCTTTCAGTGGTTGAAAAGATGGAAGATATTTCCAAGTACTCATTTATCAAAACCCACATAACCTGCTTCAGATGATCTCTGCTCTTTCTCCTTCGTCTCTCATATTCAAATTGTCTGACTCCTACCAAAAATAATTCATAATTACTATGTTTTACCAGTCCCTTTAAAGGGTTTGGTTAACCTCAGGCAGCTGCTTTTGCAGAAGTACTAAGTAAAGCAAACATTTTGTACCCCTGAAATTCTCCATTAATATCTCCAAGAAGAACCTCTTGGAAATCTGGATAGAAGAGTTCAGTTTAGAACATTGGCTACAGAGTTCTCTCTTTCCCTCTCCCTACCCACTCCTCCTCCATTGTTTAATTTCACAGCATGTTTTAATGGGCAGTGAATCAATATTATTTCTGGAGAAAACCATATTTTAAAAGACTGAGTAGGTTTTCATGAGCTCACTTTGCCTGTGAACTACACGTGGTCAGCTCTTGGGATTCCCAGGACCTACTCCCTAGACCTGCTAGACAGAACTCATTCCTACAACTGTCTTGCCTGTCCTTATATTCTCGTTTGCCCAAAATGTCAAAGACCAATCTAAAAATTAGAAATAAATTACTAATGCCCAACTTTTCAGTAAAATGTATATAGAATAGGCTTTCAGATAAAAAAAATCCATTTCCATAAGTATGTTAACTTGTTAATGTAATTCCTACATTCCTATCCCCACATATTCCATTGTCGTAACAGGGCAGTTCTGTTGATATGTATGTATTTTCCTTGAAAAAGTATTCTGGTGGTGATGTGGATCATAAATGACAATTTAAAAAATTTCCACTTGTCTGCCTCTAGAATTCTGCAATATACAGGCAAATTTTCTTCAAAGTTAAAGACCTGTGCTATATTTGCCTAATTGATAACCAGACATGCACTAACATTTTGATATGCTACCTTGTCATTTCATTGGAACTTTGGTTAACGGTGGGCTCAAAGGACTCCTTTGTAATCATCAAGTGAATTGACTTGTACATGACCTACCCAGTGAATGTTTATATTCCTGTGTAGGTAGAGAATTTGTGGACTCCTCCTTTGGTTCTTAGAGTAAAGAATTGTTGTTGCGAACCTAACACTTGTAAAAGGATACTGGAAAATTCTGGTTAGGTACCCTTACTTGGCATATTTTTGATGGATGACCACAAAACTATTGTTGTACCAGTTACTGCTTTAATTACCTTCCAAGGTCTTCAGTGCCTGCTTTACTTATGTATTCTCAAAACCAAGACATTTTCTTCACCTGCATTTTATGCCTCATGGTTGAGATAGAGATGTATAGACTGTAGTGCAAATGGTGAACTGTTGAAAGTTCTATAGAAAGCCAGTGCTGTACTGTTGGACACTGAACACAGATAGCAAGATTATTCTCCACTAACACTGTATGATCTCCGCCTACAAATGAGCCAAAGCTGTCTTCCAAGCAAATAGAAGCATATCCATGTGTCTGATTTTTCCCTCAGTCTATCAAAAATTCAGTGAACATTCATAAAATGAACAAATACAAGATTCAGTCATTAAAATGCTTTCATAGTGCTTGATTTGTAAATATTTTGGATGAAATATATTGGAATAGTGTGAAAATCAGCAGGAGATATGAGTCCTGCCTTATTTTCATATGCTGTGTGAATATCCCTGGGAGCTTGCAGCACCTTCTCAAAACTCAGCTGTCGTATGGAGCTCATTTGCTACTTGAACCATAGACAGATATTTAACATAAGTGATATAAGGACCTTCAGTATTTTTCTATTGAACAAGTTTAGCAATTTTTGCCGTTAAACAGGTAATTAGTTATGCAAAGTATTTAGCTTTTATAATCATTTTAGTTATGACTAAAAGGGGAAATTATGCTGCATCACTGATAATGAACTTTGTGAGAAATTTTTTGTTTATCTGACTTTCATTCCTTCAGTATTCTTGCTATAAATTTCTTTTGGAGATAATGATGATTTATTTGAAAATGTCTAAAATAAACCATAGGTGCATTTTACTGTTTTGTATGTTCAATTTTGGAGGTAGTGTACACAGCAGGTAATGATGAGTATGGTGAGTGTTGTACTGTTTGCTTTTGCAGTATAATATATAGTTCAAATGTTTAAATTACTGTATATATGATATTCATTATAGGCTAGCATGCTTGTTTTAAAGACTGTCATTCTAGTTTATTAAAATCTGAATGTAAGAAAACCTGGCTATTCAAATGTGAATTGAAAAATACTCCATTCTAAGTACTGAACTATTTCACTGAACATTCAGGATTTTTAACAAAACAGATATCATCAAGAAAGGCAATAGCTAGAGAATGAGAGGTGCCTTTAAAAAAAAAAAATGCAGCCTTATAGTGAAGATGAGGATTTGAATTTGTGGTGGGGAGTTGTGAGAGTAAGTGAGTGAGTGAGTGAGTGAGTGAGTGTGTGTGTGTGTGTGTGTGTGTGTGTGTGTGTGTTTGCATGTTTGCCAATCTGTGAAGGTCCTGATTTGTGACCATCAAGGTCTTTTTAATGTATCTGCTCAACTTCTAGGATTTCAGGGGGCATAGCATGCTCTGTCTTCTTGCTCTTCTGAGCAGCACATATACTTTCCAAGAATTCTGAATGTGAATTCCTAGAAATTTTAGTAGAGAATAACTGTTCTTTCAATATAGTCAAGTTCAGGTAAAACGAAAAATTACTGGTTCGCCAAAATTATGGAATGTCATTCATGTTGGCTAATAAGTAATCTTTAAAGGCCACTTTTTTTAGTACTTCATGTATTTCCCCTTTACATAAGACATGTCATGAAATTCTTATGTGAAGATTCAACTAGTAAAAATTATTTTTAAACACCTGAACTCATTAAAATTCCACCTAAGAATAGTATTTAAATGGCATCTGTCATATCTACCTCTGTCATTGCTGCCATTTTAAGTGAAGTAAATCTCTGTGACATCTGAAATAATGGTTGGATGCAATTTAAAAATCTGTGTTGGTGCTTTTCTTAGGCTTTGTCATTTAAGTTATATTGAACTAAGATGTCACAAATCAGATTGAAAGACAGAATTAATTTTAGTTTTCTTTTTAAAGAACTGCTTAACAGTTATCATCAATGTTGATAGTGAGCAGAGAGAACTTAGTCTCTGGGTAGTGTATGTCTGATGTTTTCAATCAAGAACCAAATTGTTACTGAATTTACTTGGAAAAAGAGCTCCAAGTCTGATTTCTTCAGCTTACTTTATTCTTTGAAAGCTATTCAAGGCTATTAAGTATATAATCATTAATTTTATTTACTCAAAAGATGCCTCCATTACTGTTACTTGTCTAGTTTATATAATTGGAGTACTTTAAGTGTTTGACACTGGGATTCAGGTTGTACAGATGTAGAAGCTGAGGGAAATTATATGTACAGTCTTGTGAAATGTATCAATTCCTAAAGTTAATTTTAGGGGACTATCCAGAAAACTAACATATCTGTGTTTAAAAAAAGGACAGGTCATTGGTAAATGATTTGAATTATTTTTACTTTTGCCACTGAAAGCTTTTTAATTATATTCATCATCCAGCTGGATCTCCATGTCAGTGTAAAGGACACCAAGTTGACAAAGTATGTAACAGACTACATTTGTTCTGCTTTTTTAATCTCAAAAAAGCAAATTTAGGCCAAAAGAGATCTGTAGATCCCCCCCAGTATTCCTGAAGTGGTGCTTAGGGGTCAGAATTTTATGGATCTTTGCTAGTCAAGCCATCAATTTGATTTAACTGGGACCACATGTTTGTCATCCTTATGATGCAAGTTAGAAAGTTCATTTCAATTTAGATTAATTTTAATGTCTGCCTGGGTTTTTTTCAGGCTGTGAACCAGTGAGTGCCTTGTTAATGCAGAATGATTCTTCCCTGGTTGTGTATGAGCCCCCTTCTGGAAATGCCTCAGAGAATGGTGTTTTAGTTGGCCTGTAGAGATCTGCTACATTTAGTATTAGCAGCTATCAGAAACTCTTCAGTCTCCCACATACGTCCCTCCCTACTTTTCGTCTCATTGTTTGGCTGAAGTTTGCCTCTTGTGAAAACAAATACAACCCCCCTTGACATACTTTTTTCCAGTCCAGATTAAGAGGTATTCCCTATACCCATCCCAGCTTTATGATTCTCATACCTGTTTTTAGGAGGAACCACTTCTTTGTAGTCCTGAAATCTGCGGGTTATTTTATGTCTTCTCAACTTCAGTTTACTAGAGCTGACCTCAGGGCATCGTCAGTTCAGCTTCCTGAATAACTCCTTTTCTTTATACCCACGTATCACCCTAATTGGTGAGCCCTGGATCAGATTGATCTTCAGGTATTCTAAAATTTAGTTATAATATCAATTAATGTAAATCCAAATGCTAATTTTTGTGGTGCAAGAAATTTCTTTTGTAAATTCAGGGTATGGATAAGCTAATTAAGATATTCTTTTTTGGTGGCTCTAAGTGTATTGATTTGTTTTTAAATAAAGTGTACAAATATAGATACTTTGCTATAGGTGTCTCATGAATTAAAATATTTGTAAGAGTTGGAATATGGTGGATTTGCAGTTAAAATACTTTAATACAACCTAATTTTGTTCGTTGGCAGGGGGGTGGGAGGTGTTAGTGTTGGAGGGGTACAGAGAAATAAAATGACGTTAGACAAGGTAGATGTAGTGAATCAATCTTAATTATTGATTGTGAGGAAGTAAAGTTTATCATCATAGAGAGTTTGGACCTTTTGAAAGTCAATAAAATTAAAAACCCCATCAGATTGGATCAATGATACTTTCAGGGACAGGTGTATATTTTTTCAAATGTTCAGTTAACATAATTTTTAAAAAGTTATACATATACACACATACATGTATGAATTTAATGTGTTTTTATTTTTTCTTTGTTTGGCTACTTAACAGACCAGCATAAGATTTCCCCTTCTTCAAATCAACATTAATTTTTTCAAGGGCTTCACCTGCTCAGAACTCAGTCTCTTCTGATCTAGAGCCATAGTACCATATGGAATCTAAAAATTACCTCTGTTGGTGTCCTTGAAACTATCTACTGTTCTTTGATGTTTTGTGTGCTGCTAGGAATGAGTGCTATATTCTTTGGTATATACACATTTTTTAGTAGTGTCAGAAATGTCACTTTTGTCCCTTTCAATGAGAACTGAGACATTTGCAGGCGTTATTTTAGAGTAATGTAGCTCAGAAGGTCAAGAGGACTTTGAACGTTTTTCATCGGATTATGGACCATCTAGGGCCAGCCTAGGTTCAGAGTGGTATTCTGAACTGCACTGGGTTTCCCAAGACCACCACTGAGGTTTTGAGGGGTCTCAGAGTTGTCCTGGCACTTAAGTTAGTCCCCAGGAACACCTGGGAGTCTGGCAGCACCCCCCTTTTTTTTTACCCCAAACATCATAACCATGAACCATCTCCCACTTGTTAGTCCTCAGTTACACCTGTTGCTCACAGTGATCAGGACTCTCCAGCTCTCTGGGGAAGCACTGACACGCAGCTCCAAAATTGGAATCCGTAGTTTTTTGAACACTGATTTTTAGCTTTGGGTATTTCATATGCTTTCAAAACCAAACAACAATTCAAAACCACCAAACAGTAGATGACTCATTTTAAGTTTCACTTAGATCTGGAAAAACCCTAAGCCCTTTCTTATTCTTAGTTGTTAGACTACAATTAATGGTCAGACTTGAAGAAGGATCTGACTTTGAACAAAATCCTGCAATACCCTGCTAAAAGGAAGGGCCTATTTCATAGAAAATTCTCTTGTCCTTGGTGATTTAGCCATTCACCTTACATTAAGACTGGTCCAGATGCTAACTCTGCATTGACTTTTCCTGAGTGCCTCTTTAAAGAGATAATTAATCCAGCGATGCAAAGGAGAATCCACAGTAAAACATCTGTTATATAGCTCTTAGAGTACTGGAGTCAGTATTAATTCATGTGCCAAAGTTTTTCATGCCCTAATAAGATCCAGTGTATGTACCAGGTCCCCAATCTATATAACCTTAAACCAAAGGTTATTTTTGAATTACTTATATAATAGCATCATCAAATTAAGAGTAATGGTAGGGAAGCCCATCATCCACAAATGAGAGTTCTAAAATTGAAAAACTTTGATTGAAAAAAAAACCTGCATGAGAAGCAAAATTTCACGTTAAGCGTGAGTTGTAAAAATAAGCTTGGTGATTTATGTTAAGATGTGTTGAAATGTTAGAGTATACTGATAGCCTACTATTCTTTCTTAATAGAAGTAGGATGAAGGCATTAATTTTTCACAAGATTAACTTACTTAGAGCAAAGAAATTTAATCAAAAACACTTTGCTTTGAGTGCTGGATAAGTTGGGTGAGGGTGTGGGGAAAGAACTAACACTGAGAAGGAAAGGAGACTAACCTGTGATCTGGGCCTACCACCATTGTTTTCCTTTTTCTTTAGATATGCTGGAAAGATGGCATTTGAGATCCTTTTTGACCTCTAAAAGTGAATGGCTCTAATTCTGGCTGATTTTTTTTTTTTTGAGAGGGCATATCTCATATTTATTGATCATATGGTTGTTAACAACAATAAAATTCTGTATAGGGGACTCAATGCACAATCTAATTCTGGCTGATTTTTATGAAGTACATCAAAAGTACCCCAGAATCTCCTAGTAAAATGTCAGAAGACATAGCGTTTATCATATCTTATGAAGCTAAATTAACATGGTCCCAGGTAGGTTATGTTGTATCATCTACATGTCATAATGAAAACCAGACATGAGAGAAAAGTCCTAATGTGGCTAAGTGATAAATCTCATGGAAAGACTGGAGAATCATTCCTATAGGATGAGTCCCTGTTTTGAATGATTCTGACTATGCTCTAAAAAGCAGTTTAAAAATTTACATCTACATACCTTTGAGCCCACATATTTCAGAATATCCTGTTAATGAAATAATTTCAGTCAGTGGGTGTTTTAGAAAAAGAACTCAGT